AATCACTTTCAAAACTATTTTTCTCCAGCTGATGAACGATAAAAATTTTTTTTTACAGCCAATCAGAATCCATCCTGCTGTAACGAGCTCGAGAATTTAAGGCGGCAGACGCATGTATGCTTAGAATAAACAGACGATATAATTCGCTGGTGTGGACGCTAATATCGTTATCTTTATAGTTATCGTTCTTGGTGTGAACGGGGCTTAATGCTCTCCAAGGCTGCATTTATCTGATCAAAAATAGAAAAGAAAATTGAAAACCATTTTAGGTGAACAAGTTATAAACTTTATTAGGGACCTATAGGTGAATATCTGCAGCTTTAGCATTAAAGATTTTGATTCTACAGGGAAGGCATGGCATCCTTTTATCCTACAATTCTCCATTGTCTTTGAACAAAACAAGAGGAAGGCAAAGTGAGAGAAAAGAAAGAGTGTTGCGTGTTGCTGAACCTCCCTGAAGACGAGACATACAGTGCCTATTTACACATCAAAATGCTGCAAGACAAACGGCGAGACTGAACCGTGTGTGTCGTTTACATAAGTCACATATCAAGTTCAAGGCCTTTTTCTGTCTAAAGATAAAGCAAGACACAAAACCCTCTTTAGACAGTAAACAGTATGCAGATTCAAAATTAAAGCCTTAAAGATCTCAGCCCCTTTCAAATTTGGCTTAAAAAGCTTTGTAAACATTTGCACACCCACTCAAAAGGAGAATTGCATGTTGTGTTTCAGAAAAATTATGACACAAAAGCAACAATTCTCGCCCACTTGAGACTAAAACTGGCAAGATATGGCGTCCATATTGTCAGGGGTTTGAGCATCATGCATGCATGAGTCACGGGGGACAAGAGCCAGGGTCGGACACTTAATATGATTAGTGCCATGTCAGCACTGCATTCACCATGATTTCTTCCCACTCACGTTGTCCCCTACATGTTCCCCTCACTTCAGTGAGTCACACCCACCCTCTGCTGTAAAAAGACAATATCAATCCCAACACGATGAAATACATACCTCCAGTATATCAAATTTGGCGGTTTTGACTTTGCCCCAGGTCTTCTTGAGCCGTGACACTGGGCTCATATTCATCCCAGCTGAAAGACACGCATAGAAAGAGACACAGGTCAGCACACTGCAACACACTGTTTCCTG